CCTAGTATATGGTAGCTTTAGTGTTTGCTAGAGTTAATCTCTTTTCTTTTGGGAAAGGCTGGAAAATGAGTGTTTTCAAGCAATGCACACACACATGTCTCAACAGAAAATGCTATTGGTTATTTAAAATATTTGGTCGCAAAAACGTATGATAATAAATTACTCAAAATGTAATGATTTCCCTTTCTATGTTTTTTTTGGCGAAATGAAAAGGATAACACTTTTTGAGAAATATTTTTTTTTATATTTTCCTCTTATCGTATTCGTTTGTTTTTTCAAGAAATTGAATTTGAAGAAAACTATCAACTGGGCCCAATGGGCTTACAGTGAATGAAAATTAAGTTTATCATTTTCATTTTTCCCTTCTGTTTTGAAATTTTGATTCTTTTTTTTCAAATAACAATTCTTTCTTAAATAACATGATGTCAACCTGACTTGTTCAAAAACGTTTTTTTTAAGACTCAAAATAGGTTACAAAGAATGATAATTTTTTTTATGAAGAAACATGTCTACATATTAAATTATGATAGCCTTATTTTCAAAAATCTTAACTTGGATAAGTTGCCCCTAATTTTTCTTGTTTTTTTATTCATTTTCAAATTTTTTATTATTTTATTTTTTTGCTAAAAAGATTGTTTGCGATCACTCTAAAATAGTGCCCCTTGTAAATTGATTTTTTTTATGGATAACATGAATGATGGAAAATGATGAAGAAGAAAACTATTTTCGCGATTTCATGTTATAAATGCTTCAAAAAATGAAAGTTTTATTGATTCATTTGACTAAAAAGTGTTTATTTTGTCTTATTAACTTATTCATTAAAGCATGACATTTTTGTTCTTGTTTTTTTTATTTAAATAAAAACATGAAACATTTATTGTTATGTATAAAGAAAATGAAGGAAAAAGGATGAAAATGTTGCCAATGCATATGATGCATGAAAATGTCTATGCCAAATAATGATTAAAAGACAACATGTTTTATGTTTTTAAGGTAGGTCCAATGTTTTAAGGTCTAAGCATTGTATATGCAATCTCACAGGGATGACTTCCTAAACCTAAAATAAAGGCCACCAGAGCTATGGTCCTTTTCACAGTTTTTCCACAACAGTTGAAACGCAACTAGGTGTGAAATTGCATGTCAAGAGAACAGACACTGGCTGGGGTTCTCACGATAGTCAAATTAGAAATAGTCCAAACGTGACACCGCTATACAACCCCTCTAATTCTATGTTACACTCAGACCCGGGTATAGGATCCCACTCATGATATGCAAAGTAATAATAAAAATGAATATAAATAAATTACCAAAATAAATAAAGACAATCATATATAATAAATAAAGGGAAAAGAAATAAAATAAAATAAAATAAAGAAAAACCATATCAATTTCGCACATTTAATTAAGAAGGCCTAATTCTCTAGCCTCCCCAGCGGAGTCGCCATCTGTCGCAACTAGGATCGCAAGCCGAAAAACAAACAGGATTAAGAAAAGATTTTGGAGTCGCCACCATAATTTATTATGGAAAAACTATGGAAAACCAAAAAAAATAAGACATGGTCTGCGAAAAGTAGATTTTAGGTTCGGGAATCGGTTACGAGTAAGGAAGGTATTAGCACCCTAGTGCGCTTGCCTAAAAGCAGTACTTTTAATTAAATGTATAAAGTTGACGTGGTTTTGATAAATGTTTAATTTTCTTTAAAAAAAATAAAGAAACTATTAAGAAACAAAAATATTTTTTTTGTTTTATGAACCCGACAAGGATTGACTTTGCTCCTACGTATATCCATTTATGATGGACAATCAGGGATCGCGTAGTTCTTTATGTAGAAAAATGTTTGTAAGTTTGTTTGAAAATCATTATGGATTGATTTAGACTTTTGAAAACCGAACACGACAAAGATTTGGTTTAACAAGATTGACATTTTTTTTTGGTTTTTAAGATCTCGTATTTTTTTATTTAAGAATGGTGGGAAAAAGAAAGAAACCGGCCATAGGCCGACACATACATATAAAAAAATTTATGATCTTCAGAGTACAATAAAAAAGAAAAAAAGAATGGTGTAGAGGAGACATACCTTTTTAGCTTTCAGTACTCTCGTATTTCTTCTTTGATGATTGTCGTTGACAGAACTATGAGAACCTAATTTTCTGTATACTCTCTTTCTCTCTTTTTATTATTTCTGCATGTTTCTCCTTTTCTTTTTTTTTCGTCCCCTTTTTCTATGACAGAGTGCGTATTTATATACACACTGTAATATTATGGCAATCTTGCCTTAATTATGAATTAAATGACAATAAAACAAAATAGGGAAAGAAATGGTCTTGGTTGCCAAAAAACAAATTATTCAAAACATTGGTTATCAATATTGTCAGAAAATTTGTGCATTTTTTTTAAAAAAATCATATTTTCCTCTTTAAAAGCAAGTGACGCAGCAAATTATATTAATATACTATTTTAATTATTGTTTATAATTATTAGCATAATATTGATTCAGATAATTACCATATTAAACTAACATTTCAAAAATATTGTGTCCGGTATTATAGTTATTATTTTATCCCTTTTTACCCACCATTAATTATTATTCTTTTACTCTTTTTAATTATTTACTTACCCGGACGAAATTGGGTGTTGACAACTACGATGATCTTTTACCATTCGGTTTCACTCATACTGATAATTTAGCTAACAATATTATTCTTTCTACTAATGATGATCATCATAACACTTCCACTAATATTACTCAAAATACTGAACTTGATAATGATACCTCTGCTAATACAAGACGATCATCTCGATCATGCAAAAGTCCTACTTATTTAAAAGATTTCAAAACTAACAGCATTGTCCGCTATCCTATTAATAATTACCTTAGTTATAATCGTCTCTCTGCTCATTTCAAGCACACTATTTTATCTATTTCCTCTAACTTTGAACCAACATGTTATACTGTTGCTTCCAAACAACCCCAATGGGTCACTGCCATGCGTTCCGAGCTTGATGCTCTACAGGCTAATAATACTTGGGTGCTAACGACTTTACCTCCAAACAAAACTTCTATTGGTTGTCGTTGGGTTTTCAAAATCAAATACAATTCTGATGGCTCTTTTGATCATTATAAAGCACGCTTGGTCGCCAAAGGTTATAACCAACTTGAAGGGTTAGATTACTTAGACACCTTTGCACTAATTGCCAAACTCACCACCATTTAGCTTCTTCTTGCCATAGTTGCTTCCCAGTGTTGGTCACTAAAACAATTGGATGTTAATAATGCTTTCTTACATGGTGACCTTCATGAAGATGTCTATATGAAAGTTCCTCCTGGCCTTAAAACCACCACCATGAATCAGGTTTGTAAACTGCAAAGGTCTTTATATGGTCTTAAACAGGCCGGTCGACAATGGTATGCTAAGCTCCATCATTTCTTACTTTCACATAGTTATACTTGTTGTACTTCTGACAATTCTCTTTTTGTGCAACATGATGGTAACTACACTACGATGCTCCTGATGTATGTTGGTGATATCATCATAACTGGCAACAATGATGGAGAAATTCAATGCATTACCAACCTTCTCCACTCTACTTTTCTAATAAAGAATCTTGGTGATCTTACCTACTTCCCCGGCCTTGAGGTAGCATACAACTCCAAAGGAATTCACCTTAGCCAACGAAAATATGTTTTGGATCTTCTTGCTAAAATCGGCTTGCTCGATAGTTCCCTTGTTCCTACTCCTATGGTTCATAAGAGATCACCTATACTTACCGCTCAGTCTTTGGACGATGTTGCCTCTGTTTCCTACCGTTATCTCATTGGCAAACTAATCTACCTTACCACCACCCGTCCGGACATTACATTCATCGTCAATCATCTCAGTCAGTTTATGTCTACTCCTACTTATGCTCATCAATAAGCTACTACTCGTATTCTACGATATCTAAATCGTACCCTTGGTGTTGGAATTTTGGGTAAGTAAAGTTTGTTAACTTTAAAGTTTCATTTATGAATTTTAGTTAATGACAATTAAGTTATTACCAATTTCAGGTGTCATTGGCAGCTACCACTGATCTCCATACCAGAGAACACTATTGTAGCCAATTCGGTCTTTCACGAAAGGACGAAGCATTTAGAGATTGATTGTAACATAGTCCGAGAAAAGTTACTTGCTGGTCTCATGCACCTCTTACCAGTTTCATCATCCCATCAATTAGCAGATATTTTCACTAAAGCGCTCCCTCCACGATTATTTCACTCCAATTTATCCAAGCTGGAGCTTCTTGACATCTTCAAACCTCCAGCTTGTGAGGGGCTAAAAGAAGAAGAAAGAAAGGTTCCACAACAGCTCAATCAAACCAGCAAACCCAATCCAATTGAATAGAAATATATAAGTTCATTTTGTACAGTTTTTTGTCTTTTTTCTCATACAGCTATATATTCTGTTAGGTGGTATAGGCGTTACACACACCTCACCCACGGTTGTACCTTCTGCTATATTTTTCTGTTATTCTTTTTTGTCCTTTCATAGGCAATAGCTTGTATATAAATATATACTGCATTGCTTTCATGAATACAGCAGAAATTATTATCTCAATCCTTTTGTGTTCAGCCTTTTTCTATCATTTATTTTGTTCTCTTATAGGGTTTTTAAAGTCAAGACATAGATAATACATTTAATGTGAACTTGACTATATATAGTCTTTAAAATAGATTATAATATTAATTTTAACTTATAAAATGGACGACGAATAAGAAATCCATGCATTTAAACAAGCCTTTCATACATTTTTTGGTCGTCTCTCATTAAATTTTAGCACCTAAATTACGTTTCTTTCTTGTCTATTAAATTGGTAGACTTTAAAAAAAATAAAATCAAAAGATGTTACTGTTTTTGACAACTCAATTTGATTTTATAAATTTAGTATAGAAAATGAAAATAGTTAGATAGATAGCGTAAACACAAAAAGGCATTGGAGCACTATATATAGGTTATTTGGTATGCATAACCCGTAAGCACTTGTTTCTAACGAAACAAAAAACACTTGTTAAAATGAATTCCTTCCTTTTGATTATCGTGTTTCTTCATCTTTGTTGGGTTTCTCTAAGTCTGAGCGCAGAGACAGTGTGCATTGAAAGTGAGAGAGAGACATTGTTGAAGTTGAAGCATCATATCATTGATCCTTCAAATAGACTTTCTTCTTGGAATGCTTCTCTCAATCCCAATTGTTGCCACTGGGATGGAGTTCTCTGCAACAACATCACATCTCATGTTGCAGAGCTTCACCTCAGCACTCCATTTCCTCTTTACGATGAGAGCCTACTTGAAGATGTTTATGAAGAAACAATGGAAGAGTATATTAGATCTCCATTTGGTGGAGAGATAAATCCTTGTTTGGTTGATTTGAAGCATTTGAATTACTTGGATTTCAGCTACAATCTTTTTCAAATTCCATTTCCGTCTTTCATTACAACAATGACTTCCTTAACTCACCTCAACCTTTCTAATGCTGGATTCGTGGGGAACATTCCTCCTCAGATTGGAAATCTCTCCAATTTGCTCTATCTTGATTTAAGTTATGCTGCCAACGGAACAATTCCTTCTCTGATAGGGAATCTCTCCAATTTGCTCCACCTCGAACTCACAGGATATTATTATGAAAATGTTGATTGGCTGTCAAGTCTTTCCAAGCTTTGTTATCTTCACTTGAGCAACACTCTGTCAATTCCTTCTTTTCTTGGCTCAATGACCACTTTAACTCACTTGGACCTCTCCGATTATGGATTTATGGGCAACATTCCTTCCCAGATAGGTAATCTTTCCAATTTGGCGTATCTAGACTTAGGTTATGTTGTCGATGGAACTATTCCCTCTCAAATTGGAAATCTCTCCAACTTGCTCTACCTTGATCTTCAAAGTTATTATTCTTTTATTGGAAATTATGACTGGCTGTCAAGTCTTTCAAAACTTGAATATCTTGGTTTGAGTGGTGCAAACCTATCCCAATCATTTCAATTGCTTCACACCCTCCAACTTCTTTCTTCTTTGAAGCACTTACATTTGTCAGAATGTACACACCCTCGGTATAATCAACCATCCTTTGTTAACTTTTCGTCTCTCCTCACTCTTGATCTTTCCTATATTGCTTATCATTCTACAATTTCTTTTATTCCAAAGTGGGTATTTGGACTGATAAAACTTGTTTCTCTTTTCATATATCATAACTACTTTGAAGGTCCAATTCCCGATGGTCTTAGAAACCTCACACTTCTTGAAAATCTTGATTTGCATATGAATTCATTATCATCTTCTATACCTCATTGGCTTTTTGGTGTTCTTTCTCATCTCAAGTTTTTGGACCTATCATATAACAACTTACAAGGGATTATTCCTGATGCCTTAGGGAATTTGACTTCTATGGTTACACTTGATATGTCAAACAATAAATTTGAAGGTCCAATTCCAACTTCTTTTGGATATCTCTGCAACTTAAGGGAGATTCGTTTCAAATATCTGAAACTCAACCAACATATTAATGACATTTTAGATATTCTTGCTCCTTGTATTTCCCATGGACTCACAACACTTGCAATTCAAAGTTCTCAAATTTCAGGCAATTTGACAAATCAATTTGGGGTTTATAAAAATATTGTCACACTAGATTTCTCTGAAAACAAAATTGGTGGAGAACTTCCAGTATCACTTGGAAAACTTTCATCTTTGAGATATCTTTATATGTCCAATAATCAATTTAGTGGAAATCCATTTGAGATTCTTGGATCACTTTCTAAATTATCATTTCTTGATATTGAATATAATTGTTTTGAAGGAGTTGTCATCGAACATCATCTCGCAAATCTTGTGAGCTTGAGTCATTTTTCTGCAGCAGGAAACCATTTGACTTTAAAAGTGAGTCCCAATTGGCATCCTACTTTTCAACTTATTTATTTGGATATAAGTTCTTGGAAATTAGGTCCCAAATTTGAATAGTTAAAAAAAAAACGTAAATAGTAAATAGTAAAAAAAGTAAATAGTAATAGTAAAAGTAAAAGTAATAGTAAGTGGAGTAAAAATAAATTTTCAGCATTTGGATTCTTACATAGGAAGAAGTGTAGGTAGTAATTAGGTCAAGAATTTGGTGAGAAAATGATGTGAACTACTTATTTGTAAATACATATTAAAATAATAAAACTATTAAAATATTAATGACCAAATTTGTTTTCCCCATACACTGCGTACGTGGAGGCAAGGTTATTTGCACCAAGAAAAGAGGAATCAAAGTGAGAGCTGAGAATAGGAAGAAAAGAGAAGAAAGATTAGGGAGAATTTTTAGTTGCAAGAAGAGTGAGGTTCTGAAGGGTTTCGGGGAAACAAATTCGAGCGCAGGAGCATTAAGTCTGGAATAGAGGTAGGGGAGCTAACCTTTCTAGTGCTTTTATATTATGATTTAGTATTTCTATGCTTTTTATGATTATGATTAGTATTGTTTATTACTATTCATATCTTGAAATTCTGTGTGAATAGTGTTAATGCTTACTGTTATCTATCTATGTTGAAATTCGGTGTCAATATATATTGCTATTGTTTTACAATCTGTAATAAGAAATTTGTTAAAAACTAGTTGAGGAAGCTTTGGCAAGGAAAGATTTGGTACTTAAGTGTCCATGTGACGCACCTCTCTTTCCTGGAAGTCTACTCGACAAGTTTTTAATTAAATCCTACTGAACAAGATTATGTATTGTTAAATTTATTGTGTAAATATCTGGTGGAATATATTCAGTGTGTAGATTTCGGAAATGATTGGATTTTTTACATTTGAATTTATGCATCTGAACATGATTGTGACTTAATGATGTTTTTTATGTGGAAAGTTGTGAATGTATGATATATGTTAATTCACTGTGATAATATGATGGTATATGGTTATTCATGTCTTGGGTTAAGTTTCAAGGTAATAGTATGATTCATGACGTAATTCCATGATCCTCAAGGAGAGGATACATGGTGGTGATTTGGGGGTGTATAGAATGATTGCATGTAGCTCAGTTTTGGGGGTCATCCTGAAACTCCAATGGTCTTTCTTCTCATGTAAGAGGATTGACCATGTGGTGAGGAGTAGCAGGAGGTCCTAGTCTTGGGTGCTTCCATATGATCCAAGGTGAGTGATAACGGATTAACCTCGTGACTGTGGTCGGGCGGTAGTGCCCAAGTTCCATAAGGCGGTAGTTGCCAAGTTTCCATAAGGTGGGTAGTGCCAAGTTCCATAAGGCGGTAGTGCCAAGTTCCATAAGGCGGTAGTGCCAAGTTTCACAAAGCGGTAGTGCCAAGTTTCATAAGGCGGTAGTGCCAAGTTTCATAAAGCCACCACGAGTGCAAGACGCCATAGCTCGTAATCATTCTAGTCCGACGAGTCGGGTTATTAAAGTAACCGTCTTGTGATATCATTTACCAGTGTATCAAAGTAATGGATAAGTATGTATGATGTGACTTGTTGTTATGATGGTATGAGTATGATGAATAAATTATATGAGGTTTTGCATGCATGTTTTCATAAATGATTGGTTGATGTTAGCTACCCTATTGTTTGGTGTTTGTTTTGTGTTTGGGTATGTGCATGATACGTATAATTGTCGTTATAGGCGAGCAGGAGGCAAGGAGGATACGTTGGAACCAGTACTTGATGGGGAAGGGGCAATGCTGCAGCTTAGATTCACTAGCTTTTATTAGTTAGCTTTGATGAACTTTTTACGTTTAAAGCTTTAATTCTATGTAATTTCTAGGGAGAAAACCCTAATACTCTAAGTTTTCAATTCCATGCTATTCTAAGGATGATTGAAATCCTTAATTACTCTTGACTGCTTTCCTATATTAATAAGTGATGACGTGCTTTATTATATACGTTTGATTATATATTTTGGGACGTCAACATTAATGGTATAGAGCAGTTCCTTCCTTAGAAACCTGTAGGTTGTGGGTGTGCTTCGTTTGTGATTTGCGTACCCTGGTCCTCGTGTATTAGTTTGAGGTAGACTAATGGTCTTGCTCTCTGTGTGAACAGAAGATGGCACCTACGTCTCCTCATCCTTCTCCTCCGCGAGTTGATCAAACCTGACTCTAACAAGATGTTAATGCGGTTCTTCAGTCGTTGCAACAGCAGAATGCTGCATTGGTTCAACAGAACACCATAGCCTTACAAAATCTGGAATCTGCTAGGGTAGCTGCTGAGAATGCAAGAGTGTCATCTGAGAACACTCAAAGGCAGTTCATGGAAGTGTTGACTAATGGCAAAACCACTCCAACTGCTTCTTCTTCCACTATTTCTGTTCAAGAGTGGAGTCTGGAAAGCTTTCTCCACTCATCCAGCCCGATTCACTAGGAAAATGTAGCCCTGACGAGAGTGATCATTGGTTTAAGGGACATGGAAAGAATCTATGAGGCTAAGGGGTGTCCTGATGAGAGGAACCTGGCCTACACCCAGTATTTATTGACGGGGGAAGCTGGCCAGGTGGAGCAGTATGAGGATGATATTGGAAAGAAGTGAGACTCCTATTACCTTGGGAGCTGTTTAGGGTCAAGTTCTACACTGAGTACTTCCCTGATAGTGTAGATTTGCCAAAGAAGTGAATTTCTGGAGTTGGTACAGGGCAAAAAACAGTATCAGAATATGTTGATCGTTTCAAACATCTGCTTCGCTTCAACACTATGGCGGTAGATGAAGGTGGCAATGCAGGAATTTGAGAACGGCTGAGAGGTGATATAAGCTACTTGGGAGGGGTTACGCATCAGAGAATTTCTGCTCTGGTGAGATGGCTCGTGACATGGAGAAGACTAAGAAGAATCAGAGGGGACCTCAGAAACAAACAGAGCCAACACACTAAGGGTTGGTGGACTATGATATCCAGGGAGGCTCCAGTTCTAGGAGTAAACA